TTCTCCGTTTGTTCCCCAGCCACCGTGCACAGTCCTCCATGCAGTCCCTGGCTAGCAGGGGGATTTTTAGGTTAATTCTTACATCCTACCACCACAGGAATCTGCGAGAGCGCTGTCTCTTTAAATATCCAAAATAGTCAAGCCACTTTTTAAATCTATAAAATGGCGGCGGCCTCCAGACTGGCAAAAGTCCACAACTCAGCCCACCTTTCTCTTCACCTTCTCTGTTTGTTTCCCAGCCACAGTGCACAGTCCATGTAGTCCCTGGCTAGCAGGGTGATTTTTAGGTTAATTTTTAGGTCCTACCACCACTTGGGAATGTCCAAGCCATCTGTGCCATCAGGTTCGCTCAGGTCGCTGTCAGACTGCACCTCCGTATGTCTCCTTTTTGGGTATTTTCATGCAAATTCTTCTGCTAGTTGGGGTTTAGTCCACTTCTGTATTCTTCCCTTCAAGGCTCAGGGGTCCAGGATTATCTTCTGTGTCTGTGTTAATTGGTTTTCCTTTTCTTTGTTGAAGAGGGTCTGTGAAGTCCTTCTGCTTAGTCTGCCATCTTGCGGGAACTCCTCTTTTTTTTGTTGTTGAGGAGGGTCTTTGTAGTTTGCTGTCTATTCTGCCATCTTACTGGAATTTCCACAGATGATTCCTTTAAAGAGCACAATGCCTAAGAAAATGTTCTTTTCTAATTAATCTAGACCACTGTTAGACTTAAAGGTAACTTTAAGAAACTAGTATTCTCAAGGTTCAAAGACTGTCTCAGGGAGATAGATTGAGTGGGCCTTCTCAACCTCCAACGAACCCAGAAATCTGGATTCCACAGAATTAAAACTCAGTTTCTCAGTAGGGTCTTATGAGGCTTCACCAAGGAGCCCAATTTGGATCCTGGGAGAATGGGAGGAGCATCACTCATGTTCCTAGATGTTACAGAATTCTCATCTTTAGGGTTCTGCACTCCCATTCCCATCTAAATGGCTCTTCCAGCTAACAAGAGGCAAAGTTATGGTAACTTCTTAGCCACAGCAAACCACCCTGAGGGAGCAACTAGTTGGACCTATGGACTTAGGACCATGGTTGCAGGGGACATCAAGCTCAGTTGGCATAACATACTACACAAAAATATTTTTCTACATTGTATTTTGGTGACTAGTGATTGAGGTCTTAAAAGCTTGCAAGTGGCCATCTAGATGTAACAATAGGTCTCTCCTTATCCAGAGCAAAGATGAATGAAAACAAAGATGCCTGGAAACAGTTTAAGCAACTAGTGGATCATGTGAACCTCAGCCTATAGGACCATGAGAGCAGAAGAACTAGATGGTGCCCAGCTACCACTGTCAACCACCTGGAAAGGGATCAGTACAGGAGATCCCGAATAGAAGGGGAAAACAATGTGGAACAAAACTCAAAATCATAAAAAAAAAAAAAAAAAAAAAGACCAGGTTTACTGGTCTGATAGAACCTGGTGAGACTCCAGACTGTAGCCCCTAGTTACCCTTCAGGGCTGGAATTGAACTCATTTCTCTGGCTTCCAGCCAAAAAATAGACATATAGGGTGAACATTTTCATCAGGTAGATACACTCCTCAGAAACATCGATCATGAGAGAATAGAAGGGCAGTATTTGCACAAGGAGATAGCTCTAGGGCAGGAATGCATAGCAAAGAAGGACACAGGGAACAGGCAACCACACGGAAAAAATGGGAAGGTAGCTGTTACATTGTGGGGAAATGCAGTCAATGTAATGAAACAAAATGTGCATTAACTGCTGTATGGAAAATCAATTTGCTCTGTAAGCTTTCACCCAAATCACAATAAAAATTTAAATAAATAAATGGCTCTTCTGCCATATAGCTGCAAGGCTCACTTGCTCCCCGTCACCAAAAAATTGCCGCACCAACTATTCAGAAAGCACGATGATTACAGAGAAGGGCATTCAGGTAGGCCTGGCCAACAGGAGGCTGCAACCCCACTACCCGGGACTCCTAAGCCTCAGCATACAGGTGAGATCTAAGCAAAAGCCCAGAGCACTCACGCATGCTCCCTGTCTCATGGACCCCGGCTCTGGCCCCGCCCCGCGTTCCTCTGCTAACGGAGGCGTGGCGCCACTCCAATGTAATGTCCTAGGCCCAAGAGCGCTGCGAATGGCGGGGCGCCTAGCGCGGCAGTTGGCGAGGGACGGTGTGCGGAGAGGGGCGGGGCTGCGCGCTGTGACGTGAGTGGGCTTCCTGCAGGGAAGGCCATGCGCCGAGAGCGGGAGAGCATTGTTTGGTACTCAGTGTAGATTGTTTAGCCACCAGGATCTCCAGGCCGCACGGCCAAGGCTGAGACCTGAACCCAGGTGGGCCTGACGGTTACTTGGCAGCTTCTGGGGCTGAGGGTGTTTGCGCCCTCAGAGGCTGCGGGTTCGAATTTCCGGTCTGGAGTTTGGTGTCTAGGCAGTAGCTTGTTGTTGTTGTTATGTGCCGTCGAGTCGGCCCCGACTCATAGCGACCCCTCCTTGCGTTTCCGAGGCAGTATCACTACGGAAGTAGGATTGCCCAACCTTCCTTCCGAGGAGTGGCAGTAGCTAGTGCTTGGGAAACAGCTTTCATTTTAACTCCAGTTTGAGGAGCCCAGGTTTTCTCCACGGTCGTGCAGCCCCGTCTTAAGCGGTTTGTACTAAAAGCTGTCAGGTATTGGAAGAGAGGGAGTTACGAGGTGGAACTAGTTAACTAACTGCCTTATGGGTCAAGAAGTGGGCGTGGTTGGGGTTGGGGCAGATGCGCGAGGGTCCTGAGGGCCGAGGGGTGGGGAATGGGACGACTAAGACCTTAGTGCTTTTCTCCTCCCAAGCCGTTTGCATTTATACTTTTCTCCCAGAATCTCCAGAAATGTTGTTGTTGTTATGTGCCGTCCAGTCGGACCGACTCATAACGACCCTACCTTGGGTTTCCGAGGCAGTATCACTACGGAAGTAGATTGCCCCATCTTCCTTCCGAAGAGTGGCTGGTTGGTTTGAACCGCTAGCCTTCTGGTTAGCAGTCAAATGCCTTAGGTACTACGCTTCCAGAGCTCCCTCTCTAGAAATAGAGTTAGGGTTTTTATTGTTGTGGCTTAAACTTTTGAGTTCCACTGCGGGTTTAATATGAAATATTTTTAATTGTTTACTATGAAGAAATAAAGATGTAGCAAGTTTATTCTGTGGTACAGGTTCATGTACCTCTCTAGCGCAAACAGGTAGACAGCTGGACAGAGGTGGTCTTGTTCGTCCTTGTATGTTAGGGGTGCAGGAAAGCAAGTGGAAGTTAGGTGCCTACCGTAAGATCCCACCCAGTGAAACTGTGATAGGACAGGGCTAGTTTCCATCTAGTGTTTGGCCGTGACTCAGTATGGTCTTAGCTACTGCCTCCATTGTACAAGTTTGGGTTTCAAGTTAATTCAGATTCATTTATTCTTTCAATAAATATTTAGATCCTAGGTTCTAGACCGGAGCTGCCTAGAATAGACACAGTAGAACACAAACCACATACATAATTTAAATTTTCTAATAGCTGTATTAAAAAAAAAAGCAAATAGCAGATGAAGTGATTTTTAAATTTAACCCAGTTATAACCATTTTGGGAGCTCTGGTGGCAAAGTGGTTAAAGCATTCAGCTGCTCAAACCCACCAGCTGTTCTGAGGGAAAAAGATGAGGTTGTCTGCTTCCATAACGATTTACAGCCCTGGAAACCCTGTGGACAGTTCTGTGCTAAATGGGGTTGTTATCAATTGGAATCAACTTGATGGCAGTGGGTTTATTACTTTATTAGTTTTATTATCATTTCAACATGTATGTAAATAAATTACTGAGATGTTACTTGTACTAAGTCTTTGAAATCTGGTGTGTATCGTCACGGACAGCATTTCAGTTCAGGTTTGCCCCGTTTCAGGTGCCTAGTAGTCAGGCCCACATGGCCAGTGACCACTGCATCGGACAGCACAGTTCTAGGTGGTGGTAGTACCTCCAGGAAGAACACATAGAAAAGTTGCTGCCTTGTGGAGCTTATGTGGATGAGGCAGCCAATAAATGAACATATAGTTTTTTAGATGGCAAATGCTATGGAAAAAGATAAAAACTGGAGAGGTGGTGCCAGAGGAGGGTTGCAGTTATATAAATCAGATGGTCAGGGATGGCCCCAGGAGGTGACATTTGAGATGACATGGAGAAGGGGGGTTGTATGGCTATATGGGAGAAAAGCCATCTAGACCAGAATGAGGGCTAGGACTGAGCATCCTGGAGTGTCCAGGGAACACCAGGAAGGCAAGTGGCATAGAGCAGATGAGCACGGAGAGAGTGGTAGGAGATAGGAGTAAGAACAAGGGACAATGGGGCCACTTTATAGGCCGTGGAAGAACTTCGGTTTGTTCTGTGAAAGAGGGAAACTGGAGAGTGTTGAGCAGAAGTGTGGTTGATTTGTTTCCTGTTGTGCTATTTCATAATAGGCTTATTATCATTTTATGATAGGCTTATTTAATAAAAGGCTGTCTTCCTTCTCTGAGCTGGAGCAGGCAATGGGTGGTGGGGTAGGCAGATTAGGTGTTCCTCCAGGGATCACAGTGCAGATATGGAACAGGCTGTAGACTCCTGAATCTGGGATTTGAGGAGAGCACTAGGAGCTCTGTCCAGGAAGAGCATTCCTAACTTGCTTTTTCTCTGTTTTTGGATGAGAGTTACAGGGCCAGACACAAGTAACAAGACACAGACATTTCCAGGTGTCGACCATAGCTGGCTCTGTCTTTCCTGGTGCCCTTTGGTTGCAGAGAAGTCAGCTTAGTTAAGATATACCAGGGTTGCAGCTGCTCTGGGGACAAGAAGAGGTTGCAGGAATCCACTTGTGTCATTGCAGGACTACCTTCTTAGCTTGGGGACAGCAGCCCGGATCAGACAAGGTAGGAGTGTGACCATGTTCTCCGAGCAGGCGGCCCAGAGGGTCCCCACCTTGCTGTCTCCACTGTCAGCCAACACCCCCACTTTTGCCCGGGTGCCTGTGGTAGCCTACACTAACTCCTCGCAGCCCTTCCGGCTTGGGGAGCGCAACTTTAGCCGGCAGTATGCCCACATTTATGCTACCCGCCTCATCCAGATGAGACCCTTCGTGGTGAGCCGTGCCCAGCAGCATTGGGGTAAGTAACAAATTTGGGAGCTGCTTCCCCCATCACCACCCAGAAAGTACCTGTGGTACTTGCACAATTAGAGAACTGGCAGAACTATAACATTAATTTATCCCACTTAAATTTAGGAAGGTTTCCTACCTCTTCCAAACCTCAGTTTCTTTAAAAGGTAATTAGGAGGATTAAAACAAATGATCTTCAGGTTTGCAAATCAAGGTGGAGTTCAGAGGTTGGTTTAAAGACAGCTTAGTTCAGTTCTGAGGTTATTTCCTCAGCATAGGGAAATGCTCTTATATTCAATGCAGGTTACTTGCTGGTATGATCTCAAGACCCTGTGGTGTAGTGTGGTGGGCCACACCATGCTGAGGAAGAGGAAGGAATGGTCCGCCCATTCCCAAAGAGACTGACTCTTCCCCAGAGTCCTCTGTTTTAACGTACCTCTTCTATCTTCTTTTCCATCTCCCATGTTTTAAGAGTTGGAATCTCCTGTCTTTGGCACTACTCTTTTGTCTTTCCTGACAAACTGGTTTGAGTGACTTGAAGCTGTTATTTTTTCCATTTCTTCCTTGGTGATGGGTAGTTGGGCTACTCTTGGTGGTAAAGCAGGACCCTCATTTAAAAAATATTTGATTTTATTTTTGGGTGATGGCTTTCTTTCCATGTAGTTTTTAAATTCATTTCCTGCTATGTTTTTAAATAGATTTTTGTTGGCTGAGACCATGTCTGATTGATTTTTATTATCCCCAGTGCTAAGCTTGGTGGATGATCTCAACTCACACCAAGTTGATCAGACTTGAGTTTTATTACAGGGAGCTGGAAGAAGCTATGCAGCACCCTCATAACTCGGCCTAGAAATTGCCTAGCTAGATCATCACATTCTTCAGGGACATTTTCTATTTTCTACTTTGCTATAGGCAAGGGTGTTGTTACACGTTCCACTGTTACCTAACAAGACTCTCTTTTCCTCTACTTCCAGTGCCATTTTCCTCACTTTTTTTTTTAAGCCTTCAAATATGCCCTAGTCAAGGCATTTCCAGTTGCCACCTACTGCTCAATCTGAATGCCACATTTTAGGGTTTTCATGGCAGTATTCCTTTTGGTGCCAAGTTTCTCTTCCAGAAACATGCTGCATAACAAACCACCCAAAACCTAATGGTAGTAAACAGCCATTTGGTTCTGTTTACTGATTGTATGGGTCAGGAATTGGGGTTAGGCATGTCAAGGACATACATCCATGAGGAATGGGGCTCTGCCAGGGGGATGGCAGCATAGCATGTCCTGCATCCACAGGTCACATAGTGGAGCGTTGCCCTAACACCTCTCCATGAGGCCCAACTTCCTTATAGGCTTAGTGTGTCCTGGAACACATTACTTCCTTCACTTCTGTCAACTTCTCTCTGTATCTGGTACACTCTTCCTCATTTTCCCAGGGCTGGTTCTCATCCTATCATCTCAGCTTAAATATCGTGTCCTTCAAGTGTCTCAACACTTGATGATAAGGGCCTTCTCTGTATTTCCTCAATTCCCATTTACTTGTGGCATTTGTTGCAGCAGCTAATTACTCATTATTATTGACTTTCTTGTCTCTCTCCTTCCTAGACTGAGCTTAGAGAGGACAGGGCTTGGACTTTTGTATACTTTGTTATGTTGGTGCTTGGTGTAGCCCAACACAGTCTGGACTAGATATATAACTCTACTGCCAGGTGCTAGGATACACCTTGTGTTCACGGTTTTCTCAATGAGATAATGGAAATAAGAATACCCACTCCTTACATTGTGAATGTTAAGTGAGTGGCAATATGTAAAGTGCTTGGCATAGGGCCACCTGGAGCAGATGAGATGAGTGGTCAACAAAGTTTGGATACTTTGGGGACCCATGGTTTCCTTTAGGATATGGCATTTCCCTTCTGTACTGATGCTTTCATTATTGTGTTTTGAATTACTCCCTCTCCATGCCCCCATGTGGAAGAGTGTGGAATGGACTCAGTTTTGCTAGAGCATGACTAGCTGGGACTGTGCTGGACACACTTTGCTAAGAAAGGGCTAGTCCAACTTCTACCCATCTCCTCAATCTACAGCTTTTTTTCCAGGCTTTGGAGGCCTTCTGAAAATTTTATTCCTTCCTCTTTCCAAGTAAGGAAGCACTGACAGCTCCCCCATGTTTGCACACCATGCTCTTCTACCCCCCACTCCTGCATACTGCATTCTTCCACCCCCCTACTCCTGCACACTAACTGTATTCCTTCACCTTCTACACTCCTGCACATCATACCCCTCCACCCCTCACTCCTGCATACTGTGCTTCTCTACTCCCTGCACTCCTGCACACTGTGCTCCTCCATTCCCTGAATTCCTGCACACCATGCCCCTCCACCCAACTCCTGAACACTGTACTTCTCCACCCTCCTGCTTTTGCACACTTCCCCACCCCTGCATGCTGTATTCCTCCAACCCACACTTCCACACTACTTCTCCACCCCTCAACTTCTGCATATCATGTTCCTCTGTCCCATTCACTCCTGCACACCAAGCTCCAACACCCTCTACTCCTGTATACTGTGCTTTTCCACCCCCATCTCCTGAAAACTGTTCCTCTATCCTCCTTATTGCACTCCTCCATGCTCACTTCTGCACACTATGGCATCCAAACCCCACTCCACAGCACCCTCCTCTACTTCCCACTCCTGTAGACGACTCTCCTGCACTCTCCTTCAATCCTACTCACTGTGTCCTCCACACCCACACCCACTCTTGCACACCATGCTCCTCCACCCCCTACTCCTGAACACATGGGTTTCTTCCTGCTTCCTCCACATCTTTCTTTCAGTACATCCTGCGTCTGCCTGATCTCATGTCCCCCAAGGATCTCAGGACAGTGCTAAGAGTGCTCTGCCCAGATCACAAAGAAGGGATAAGTTGCTGGGTTAACTAAGCAGCTGGCTCCACAGGCATAGGGGAATAGGGATATGAAGTTTTATATTTTGAATACCTCTGACTTTACAGGACAACGCATGAGGAGGTGGAAGAAACCAGACTCTTAAACTGCCCTGGTTAGGTAGAGATAAGTAAAAACAAAAAAACAAAAAAAAAAAAAGGAAAGAAACTGCTCTGTTTTTAGAGTAGATCTGTATTGAGACCTGGCAGCATACCTCTTTCTAAAAAACAATGTTAAAATTTAGGTATAAGTGAAGTAGCACCATGTGTTAGTTTCTAGTCTATGGCTACTGTAATAACTTACACAAAGTAGGTGACTTAAAACAGAAATTTACTCTGCAGTTTTGGAGCCAGAAATTCCTAGAGGGCTCTAGGTGAGAATACTCCCTTGCCTCTTCCAGCTTTGCCTAGCGGTCCTGGGCTTGTGGCCACCTAATGCCAAGCTCTGCTCTATGGCCACATGGTCTTTCCTCTACATGTCTGTCTCCGTCTGACTCTCCCTCAGAAAGACACCTGTGACAGCATTTAGGGCCCAATACATCTGGAGAGGCTCTTATTTCCTTACAGTTGATGTTCTTTCACCTGGGCAGAGGACAAGGCCCCTGGGCTGTTGCTCTCTGGTGAAGCCAGGGTAGGGGCTCCCTGGAGGCTGTCAGATCAGAGGTGGGCTGCTTTCTGAGGTGTTGTCCCTGTGCCCAGGCAGTGGAATCAAAGTGAGGAAGCTGTGTGAGTTGCAGCCCAGCGAGGAGTGCTGTGTGGTGGGTACCCTCTTCAAGGCCATGCAGCTTCAGCCTTCCATCCTGCGGGAAATCAGCGAGGAGGTGAGGCCCAGGGTCAAGGATGGTAAGGAGAGTAGAGGCTTGCTTCCCTGGAGAACTTCCCTGTGGGCCACCAATGTGTCCTTGGCCCTACAGTTGGAGCTTCAACTCAGACCTGTGGCTCTAGGGACTTGGACTGGCCTTGGGAGGGAGGTCCAGGGGAGTTGGTTGTGGTGCTGTCACATTCATATGGTATGGTGCCTGATGGGCTCTGACCAAGACCACCCTTACTCCACATTCCAGCACAACCTGCTCCCTCAGCCTCTTCGGAGCAAATATATCCACCCAGACGATGAGCTGGTCTTGGAAGATGAACTGCAGCGAATCAAACTGGAAGGCACCATTGATGTGCCAAAGCTGGTTACAGGTGAGAGCAGGCCAGAGTGTGTTGGAAGCATCTCTTCTTTGGTCATATCAGATTAAGGGCCCTGTGTTTTCCTCTTGGAACAACCTACTGGGTTCTGAGAGGAGGAGAATGTCAGTGGAAGAGGCCTAGGTAAGAGACCTACGACAGGAATGCGGTTTGTGGTGTTCTGCATGACAGATCCACCAGCATGGCAGGAGAGCTGGCTGGTTCTGCCCATCTGGGTGAATGGAAGGAGGGCAGTGCCTCCTGGCCTCCTCTGGGGACCTGATATCCATTGTTTCCCAGGCACGGTCCTGGCTGTGTTTGGCTCCGTGAGAGATGACGGGAAGTTTCTGGTCCAGGATCACTGCTTTGCTGACCTTGCTCCTCAGAAGCCAATGGTTCCCCTAGACACAGACAGGTGAGGAGTGGGCCATCTGGTGGGATCCAAGGCAGAGGCCCTGCCAGTGGCTGTGCTGACTCACACTAAACTTTAGGGAAGCCCCAGCACCCTTTCCCGACAGCAGTTCTGCAGTCTGAGCAGGCATAAGCTTCATTCTCCCCCATGAAGGAGCTCGGCTGGGGGCTCACTCATCGCCACTCTGGAGCACAGCCCCCTTCTTTTGCACCCCTTCCTTATCTTCCTCTGCAGGTTTGTGCTGCTGGTGTCGGGTCTGGGTCTAGGTGGAGGTGGTGGCGAGAGCCTGCTGGGCACCCAGCTGCTGGTGGATGTGGTGACAGGACAGCTTGGGGATGAAGGGGAACAGTTCAGCGCTGCCCACATTTCCCGGGTCATCCTGGCTGGAAACCTCCTCAGCCAGAATACTCAGAGCAGAGACTCGATTAATAAGGTAGGTACTCAGCATATCCTGAGCAAGACCTGGGGGGTGGGAGCAGATACTGAGCATCAGGGACTTAGGGTGTTGCAGGCCCAGGGCATAGCACCTGTGGCTACACTGAGGCCCCTCAAGGTACTGGCTAGGAGAGAACTTGAGGGTACATAAGCTCTGTGACCCCCCCCTTGCCCTCAGCCTCACTTTAGGCCCCACTGTGCCTCCTGTGCTGCTCCCTACAGGCCAAGTACCTCACCAAGAAAACCCAGGCAGCCAGTGTGGAAGCCATCAAGATGCTGGATGAGATTCTTCTGCAACTCAGTGTGAGCTTAGGGTAGGGAGAGGGAGGTGAGGTGGAGACAGTGGTATGTCTGAACCTGGCATGTGGACAGCAGTCTTATGAGCCTGGGGTGGGGACAGGGTTCAGTCTGTGAGGCTGCAGTTAGACATATGAAGTGGGCAAGGAAAGGGAGACTTAGTCACCCAAGCATAACAAGTAACCTGGAGAATTAGTCACCAAGCATGGTAAGTAGCCTCCTGCTAGGCTGTCCTGTACTTTGTGTCCTACTAGGCCTCAGTGCCTGTGGATGTGATGCCTGGTGAATTCGACCCGACGAACTACACACTGCCCCAGCAGCCCCTGCACCCATGCATGTTCCCACTGGCCATTGCCTACTCCACACTTCAGCTAGTCACCAACCCCTACCAGGCTACCATCGATGGAGTCAGGTACCAGAGCAACTTCCGCCTGAATCTCTTGTCTTTGGCCTTTGGCTGATCAGTTGGAGGTGGCAGGGTGGTGGGGCCAGCCTGGAGTCAGCCTTTTCAAGTTTGGCCTGGGGACATCACCCAGCATGAGCCGCCAGGTCCTGAGGAGCCACTCTGCTGCTGGAGGTAGACCAGTGGTGGCCATTTGCTCAGGCTGAGGCTTAGTGAGCCTTGCCTTACAGATTTCTGGGGACATCAGGGCAGAATGTGAGCGACATCTTCCGGTACAGTAGCATGGAAGATCACTTGGAGATCCTGGAGTGGACCCTGCGAGTCCGTCACATCAGCCCCACAGCTCCCGATACCCTAGGTAATGGAACTCTACATGGGTGAGACCAAAGTGCCAAGGGAACTGGTAAGAGGCCCTATCAGAGGTCTTCTGGCACTGAGCTGCAGTCTCTAGCCTTGCCATGTGTGACCTGTCTAAGGAGACAATCAGAAGCTGCCTCTTGTTGATGGAAGCTATTGTAGAATCTTCATTCTGACCATGGCTAGGCCCTGCTTGGGGCTGAAGGCCTTGGGAACATGCTGGAAGTTGGGGCTTTTCAGAGCACTATACCCTGCACCCAATGCCCACCCTGCAAGGCAAAGGCAGTGAGTGTTCATTGACCAGTATTTTACCCTCCCACCACCACTTTCACCTCCCTTCACCATCCCTAGGGTCATGTAGCAGTGTCTGGAGACTTTATTGTTGTCATCGTATGGGGTGCTGTCAACACAGGCACTTGGCCAGCAGTACTGTCCAATCCAAAATGGGAATGATGCAGAAGCCTCTTTTCTTCCAGGCTGCTACCCCTTCTACAAAACAGATCCCTTCATCTTTCCTGAGTGTCCTCATGTCTACTTTTGTGGTAACACCCCCAACTTTGGCTCCAAAGTCATCCAAGGTAAATGTCTTTTATAAGCACAGCCCGCAACTGAGAAGACCTGCATTGTGGGATCCCCAGCCATCTGTAGCATGGCTGTTAGTTGCCTGCAGGACTGTAATGTAATTATAGAGGGCTTAGGGTTGCCCAGTTGGGTGTGTCAGGAGCAGGGCTGGAATTGTTCACGGCCTGTGTAGTGGTCAGGCTGGTCTCTGGGCTGTTGTGTGCCATCAGCCTTGGGAGCTTCTAGTGGCTGTCCCCATTGGGCCCCAGGGGGTCCATGTGCACCTTCAGACTTCCTTGGAGGACACATGTGGAACCTAAGGTGGATTCTTGTGGCTTCCTCCTAGGCCCCGAGGACCAGACCGTGCTACTAGTGGCTGTCCCAGACTTTAGTGCCACGCAGACTGCCTGCCTCGTGAACCTGCGCAGCCTGGCCTGCCAGCCCATCACTTTCTCAGGCTTTGGGGCAGAGGATGAGGAGGACCTGGGAGGCCTAGATCTGTGCCCCTGACCTGCCAGGGCAGCCTTGACAGGCCACAGCTGCACCAGTTTTCACTTTGTAAAATAAATCTTGAGTATTGCTCTGGTAGCATAGTGGCTAAAGCACTTGACTGCTAACCAGAAGGCTGGCGGTTCAAACCCACCAGCCACTCCTCGGAAGGAACGTTGGGCAATTGTACTTCCGTAGTGATACTGCCTCGGAAACCCAAGGAGGGGTCGCTATGAGTCGGGGCCGACTCGATGGCACATAACAGCAGCAGCAACAACATTGCTTCCCATGCTTCAGGCTTCTGGGTGGGCTAACTGAGAATATGCAAGTAGGCTCTCTTGGCAGAAGAGTTATGAAGGAAACCAACAAGGTGAATGGAAGCCTCCCACTTCCCCTTCCCTCGTGCTGATCGGAGGTGAGAGGGAACCATCTGCTGTGGGAGTGTGCTTTATTGGAAGGACCAAGCTAGGGGACTGAGTCTGCCATCCACTCCCTCCACCTGTTACAACCCATGCCCACCCAAGCTCCCAACCCCCGCAGGTACTTTGCTCTCTGGGCCAGGGTGGGAACCCAGAGGTGCCTGGCAATGTTTACAGACTTTTTGACTCTTAGGTCTTGGTCACATTCTTGCCCCCTCAGAGGAGCAGCACAGCCCCACAAAGGAAGCTGGGTAATTCCTAGCCAGGCCCACACCAGGGTTGGGCCTTTGTTGTGCTATAGGTTGGTGAGCTAGCGGACTCATGTAGTCCTGCTGCTATGTCTTCAGAAGTCCCCAAAGTTCACAGTGTAGGTCTCAGCCGTTGTGAAGGGGGCATCTGGGCTGGTGACCAGCTCTTCCTCAAGTGTGAACTCAGTCCCAAGTTCTGTTACCACCTCTGTATAGGTCTCGGTTTCTAACTCTTCCCAACCAGCGGTGGTGGGAGACAAGGGGCTCCAGGGCTCCAGAGTAGAACTGGAGGGTGAGACAGGGGGCAGGGTGGTAGAGGGGGCTGGGCTCACTGTGGCATTGAGGCGACGCAGTCGCATCTGCTCACGCATTCTCAGGCGGTACTGTAGGCGGCGACGCTGCATCAGCCTTTGCTGGGGGGTCATGGGGCGGGATGGGTCGATGCGGGGGATGGGCCGGTTCCCATTCATGGCCATGATCTCCCGGATGCGTTTCCAGTTGGAGCGTGAAAGGATGAAGTTGCACTGGGTTGCCCCGATGTCATAGTCCACGTTGCAGGTCTTGGCGCTTGGAGTATAGCCCTCCACATGAGCTGTCACACGGTACTCACCTGGGTTCAGGATGCGCCAGTAATCGCCCCCATGTGCTGCAGAGCAAGGACCGGTATGCTGCTCCAGAGCTCCTGAAGCTTGGCACCCCCACCAGGCTAGGTGCCCCCTCCCCCAGCCTGATCTTGTCGACAGCATATAGACTTGTCCTCTTTGCTACTAAAAGACCAAGTGGGCACCTTGGGAAAGGTGGGGTACAGGGCATGCACATGCAGTACCTGTCTTCACACCATGATTGATGCCACTCACGGAAATGGTGGCATTGGCAATAGGGATGCCCTGTTCATCTGTCACCACCCCTTTAATGCCGCGGTGAACCTGCAGGGTCAGGCAGGCAGGGCTGCTGCTCATACTGTGGGAGGCCCCCACAGGACCACTCAGGCCCTGGCCCACTCCTTGGCCCTGCCCTCCCTGAAGACCCTCCTTGCAGCCACCCACTTGTTCCATAAAGGTGAGTAGAGCTTCCTTGTTGTTCTCCCACTCCTGGGGCAGCTCACTTTCATGTGGGAACTTGTCGCAGCCCAGGTAAATGGAGAGTTCCAGGCAGTTGGTGTGCAGGTAACTAAAGTCATTGATAGCTGAAGCAAGGAGACAACCACAGTCACCACCCTGCCCACGCCCTGTCTCCCTCCATACCTTCCCCCCAGGCCTCACTCACTCCCCGATCTGGGGTTCCACTTGGCTCCATTGATGATGCCCCTGCCGTTAGTGTAGTCTTGGGCCTGGCACCCTCCCTGGTAGGGCTCAGTCATAGTGAGGTGAGTAGAGGCAAAAGAGATAGCCAGCCAGCGGAAGATAGCATGGTCCGGGGTCTCCTGGGCCTCAGATGCCTCATCCTCATCCTCTCCCCGGGCAGCCGCCATGGCTGCGGCCAGCAGCTGCTCCTGGCTTGGCGTGCGGGCCATGTCATAGGGGTATGACACAAGCCGCTCACCACCATTCAGGTTCGCCCCTAGCACAAAGGGGTTCTTCTCCATCCAGGCAATGATGGCACGGACCTCTGTGGACACCTGGGGGCCACCATTGTGGACACATGAGGCCAGGGTTATAGCTTTGGGTCACCAAACACCTGCCTCCATGCCCCTCTGCAAAGGGCAGATGGCAAGACAACTGGGGTCTGCCCCCAGCCCACTGAGGCTGAGCTGGACTTCAGCAACCCACCAGCTGTCCTGAATTCAGTCCAGAACTCTGAGCCTGGCCAGAACCCCAGGGCCCTGCTGTGGCCTCACCGTGGCATCTGGGGAGAGGTAGCGCTCAGGAATGGGCAGGTTGTTGTTGGGGACCCGGTAGGGGACCCATTTCCTCTCCTCTGCACCCCAAAGCACAGAGTTGAGATCCGGGAAGTCCTCAAAGATGTCGAAGCCCTCCTCAGTCCAGAGCCCCAGTGCCCAGTTCCCAAACTCTGAGCCCTGCAGGGAACCAGCCGATTAGGACCTGCTACCTAGCTTCAGCCTACCCTCACCACCCACCCCAACTACCCACCATCTGTGCAGCAACCTCGTAACCATCGGGGTTCAATGAGGGTACCAGGTGGATGCGTGTGTCATGCACCAAACTGCGCACACGTGGGTTCCCGTCACGATACTCGCGGCACATGTACTGCATGAGCAGTAGCAGCAGCTCTCGCCCCAGCACCTCATTGCCATGGATCCCCGCTGTGTAGCGGAACTCTGGCTCCCCTGCAAAGGCAGAAGTCTCAGCAAGCACCCTGCCACCAAGGCTGGTGGTCAGACGAAGTGAGGTGTGTGTGTTGGGGGGAATGTTACAGGTGGGGACTCCTGGCTTACAAAATAGACCCAGGCACTTGAGGATCCAGGGGGAAGACAGCTCAACTGGGCACAGGTGGAAGGAGCAAGTTATGTCCCTCCTGATTCTGACACATGGAGGAGGTAAAGTGGGGACAGAGCCCTGGCAGGTCAGCCACTGGGGCTCCATGGAGGGCACAGATGGTGTCGGGACAGTGTTCCACAGCCTCCTGCTCACCTAGCTCATGCTCGCCAGGGTTGTCTGAGATCTCCATGGCATAGATTTTCAGGCCACGTGAGCTCTTGCCCAGGCTGTATGTGCGGGTGATGGTGGGGCACTCCTCATTCACCACCTTCATCAGCTGAGGGGAATGGGCCAAGAATCAGAGCCCACCATCTCTCCTCCACCCAATAGGCACTGACCAATCCCACTGTCTGCTCTGGGAAGGGGCTCCTGCTTTTAAGAATCCCCAGAGAAAGGGGCAGGAGCCCTACAGATGACCCCAGCCCCTCTCAGGTTAGCTCCCAGGTGATTGTACTGGGTGGAAAGGGCTCTGGGGATCCCCTGGCCCAGTTCCTCAGTCCTCAGGTAAAGTATTACCAACTTCTGTCTTGGGGACCAGCAGGGCCACATGGCTCTGCCCTGGTGAGGGTAGTGATTACTGAGTGCTGGACAGAAGTATCCCACCATCACCAAGAAGCCCTAAGCCAGCCCAAGAACAAAGACCAAACTCCTAAGCCCAGAGGAAGGGTCCTCCCCCACCTGGCGCATGTCCTTGTAGCTGTGGTGGCGGAAGTCCAAGTTGTCAGTGGCCACCACCTCGTTCTGCACGTAGTAGCTGTAGACAGCTGCAAAGGGACAGGTGAACCCTGAGCAGCCAGCTGCTATCTGGCCTCCCTGTCCCTCATTTTTTTCCTCCTCCAAGCCCCATCCCATCCTCATCAAGCACTCACGGGCTAGGGGGCAGCCCAGCACCTCCAAACGCATGCAGAGGCTGCCATTCCAAGTGAGTGGGTAGATGCGGATAAAGCGGGCCACCACTGGCTCTGGGAACTCGCTCAACACTGGTGTGTCCTTATCCACGTTCCCATGGAAAGTCTGGGGACAGGCAGAGCCTCAGAGGACAGCCACCCACTCGACCACAGACAATAGGGCAGAGTTGGGCTCCAGGAGGAGGGGCCCACCATTTCCTCGTAGCCATTGCTGTACATCGTCCACGTCTGGCTGTCATTGCTGAACCCCACAAAGAAAGTGGTCACAAAGTCGTCACTGTGGGCAGAGCGGATACACTAGTCAGAGTAAGGCCATTCTCCACCATTTGGTCCTTAGAGGTCCACGCTCCTCTGCTAGAACTAGAAGGGGTCTCACAGTGTATGAATTACCACCCAGAAACTTGGGCAGGCCATTTGCTCCCTCTGACATCTGCTCATTCTTAAAGTTTCAACTTGGCAGGGCTGGGGTTCAGTGTTAGCCTCTGACTTATCTTTAGGCTAGGCCTAGCCCAATGGGATGTGGGGCCTGGAGGGCCCTTCCCCACGAGCAGCGTACTGGATACTGGAATCACGGCCTTGAGTGATGACACCAGTGATCTTGGTGGTCCTTCTGGTGTCCACCTCGATCCACTGTGTCTGTGCATCATCTTCGGCACACCATGCCCCATCATAGTAGTCATCTTCATTGGGCCCTGCCTGTGGGGAACGAGCAGGGGGCCTGAAGGGAGGTGGGGGGAGCCCTGACCCAGGCTGAAAGAGACTACCAAGATACCCACCTGCATGTTGAGCCGGCCACGCTGCGCACCCAGGCCGTGCCGCAGCATGGAGGAGGCACGGATCTGGTTGTCCTCAATGCGGTGCGACTCCATCCCAATGGGGGGGCATTCTGGGGACATGGTATCCCAGGCTGCAGGCCCACTGATTCCATCCCTCCCTCCACTGCACTCAGAATCCAGGAGCCCCAGGGCCCATGGGGCCAATGCCTATACCAACAGAGCCCACACCTACCACATCAAAGAGGAAGGCAAAGCTCAGCTGGATAGTGTCCACTGAACCAGTGGGTGGTGGAGCCACCAGTCCCCCTGATGCCCTGCTAACCCAGTCCATTCCCAGTGTGGCGCAAACCTAGTTCCCAGACTGTCCCTTTGCTTTCCAGGCCTCACCCTCTTCATTTGGAGAATGAGCCAATCTCTGAGGGGGTGCAAGGTTTATGTGAAATTGCTGGGAGGCCCACCTCAGAGAACATAGTTAGAGGTCACAGATGTCATCCTCAGAGACTGGGGTGTCTCTCTACCACCCCAAGACCTGTCCTCCCTCTACCACACCCATCAAAGATCAAGGGCCCCAGGGAGCTCTGGCCTGCCCTAGTACCTGGCTTCAGAGCTGCCAAGCCCTGCTTGCCCAGCTCCCAGACCTCGAGTGAAAGTGTCCACACAAGTGAGGTTGCTCCCAGGGCCCCAGGAATTTAGAAGCAGATAAGGGTGGCCTCCAGGGAAACTGGACCTCAATGGTAAGACTTTGGCCTTGGGAAGGTCACTGGATCCCAGCACCCCACCCTAGAGGAGGAACTCACTAATTTTCTCCCTTGGAGCCCATTCCTCTTCCTCGCCTTTTTGGGGCCCTATGGGGCAACAAAAGGGAGGGGTGGCATTGAAGGGCCCAGAACACCTAGGAGTTCAGAAGCCCCTCCACCCACCTCAGCTCCACAGGCATCCTTCACACCTCAGCCCCGCCTCCCCACCTTTGTGGTCCTTGCCCTTCTCCACAGCCCATTTGTCATCTGTCTCCTCCATGGGGCTGCTGCCCTCCTTTTTTGGTTTCTCTGAGGGTGAAAGTGGGGAGGGGCCTGTCAACCTAGGCCTGGGAGATTGACATGTTGAGGGTAGGGGGCAAAAACAGTAGCTTGGTCCTACTCACTCAGTGCCTCCTTCTCTTCATCTGTGTCCAGTTTAGCATCTGGCTTCAGAGGCTGAGGAGGACGGAAGTAGTAGTCCACTGTAGGAGGAAGAGGCCTGCTGACAGTGGCCCTGGATGCCTGCTCCCTATCGGCCTGTCAGGGACCCCAAAGGGTTCTGAATGGGGTATAAGGAAAAGCAGCAGGACCAAGGCAGACAACAGCCTCGGCACAAGTGGGAATGAGCAGGACCCACGTCAGGTGGGCAGCCTGGCCCCACAGTTGTTTGGCCTGGAGAAGGTGGGGGATCAAAGCTGGAGGTAGCTGGGCATGGGGCAAGGGCAGGCCTGGAGTAGTGGTGCACCTGCTGCCAGGACACGCCACCACATGTCAGGGCTTTCCTGGGCAGAGATTGAGGGAGGAAATGTCCTGAACAGAAGCCATCTGGGGAGGGGTCAACCTGGACACTTTAAGGAGCCTGGGGCAGGGGAATGATGAGAAGCTGAGAAGTCCTGCAGCCGTGGGACCCAAGGGAGTACCAAGAGCAGTGTGCAGGGAGGGCAGGGGCAAAGAGTGGTTTTTCCTATAGGCCCAATAAACCCCAGTGGGGTTGAAAGCAAATGTAGGAGCCAGAGTAGCAGCCAGGGAAGGATCAGCCTGAGGAGGAAGAGAGTAGGTAGGGGGCAGAATCTATGGAGCATGCCAGTGGGCAGGTGACAGCACAGCCCCCAGTCAGTTGGGCACTGTGGGCTGGTCTCCGACTTCCAGGCGACTGCGAGTTTCATACTCTTGGAGTAGCAGCTAGGTCCTGGGTACTCACTGTCATCGTAGTTAGGAATTACATAACCATCACCATAGTCAGGATTAGGTGGGGGCTGTGGGAGTTCCAGAGGCTGCTCTGTGGATACATAGGGTGGGGTGGGCTCAGACTCCCTGGGCCCTTCAACCCCAGGCCCATAGGCCCAGCAGCCCTAGCCCCACTCCCTGACCTCCTCCCCAGTAGTCTCCTCAGCTTTAGCCACCCTGGGCCCAAGGGAGGATGCCACTGTACTACCGATCCCCTCTTCCAGGCCCTCAACCACCAGCTGGGGTGGCGGAGGCTTTTCCACCGTGTCCTCAGGCCTCTTGGGCCGCCTCCTGCTCGGTGGGGGCCTGGGCTTCTTCTGGCGCCGGATGTACTCAACTGAAAAGGAAAGGGTGCTGAGGCAGGCCACTCATGCCTCCAGGACAGAGGTACTGCCAGAGGTCCCAATCCAGACCAAGGTGGGATCCAACAACAGATGGTGTTGTCCTACTCACAGTCCTCATAGTCTTCCCGCTCTATCTGGTCATTATAATCCAGCGTGGGCAGCTCCTCTTCCAGCTCTAGAAGGAGAATGCTCATGGCTGCTTTGCTGAAGACACACACTGACCAGCACCCTACCACCCCAATACCCCCTACAAGCCTGGGAAGCCACCTACCAAGGACACATGTGGAAAACCTAATTATGACTACTATTTTAATACTAACATGGACTAAATAGCCCTGGTATGCCTTGGACTATCCAGATTTTAGATTGTAAATCCTGAGTCCTGGAAAACCTGTCAGTTCCAAGTACTCTGAGGCAGTTAGTCACCCTTGTGCTAATGCCAGGGAGGCTGCTGCCACTCACAAGGCTGGTACTCCATGACACCAGGCCAATCTCCTTTCCTCCTATACCCTACTAGGGGTTTTGGAGGGCCCCACCTGAAGCCCCCAGAGTAAGTGGCCTTCCCTGGTTACCCCAGCAGAGGTAGAGTAGGCTTCAATGTCTTGGCTGCTATTACCTACCCCATGAAAGGCAGGAGAGAACCCTACAGGCTCAGATCCCAGAGGCACATGGGTAGGATAGTTCTGGGTGGGGCCAGGAGACAGAGATCCCAGGATAGTGAAGAAAAACCCCACCTACCCACAAGGCTACCAAGCCCTCTCATTAGCAGGGGCCTTGGCACTGAGGGAAGTTGCCCATCAGATTGGCAGAGTTCATCAAAACAAGGCCCCAGAGCCTACCCTGTCAGTGGGGACCTAAGAACCTGCAAGATGCAGTGACCCAAGGACTGATCTTACCCCCACCCTGTCCACAATCCAGCTGTAGGTCAGAGTCTAGAGCCCCACTTCAGAAGTGCCCTAGTACAAACCTTCCTGGGGTAGCTCACTGGGACTAGGGCTGGGGGGCAGGGTCAGTGGCCACTCCAGGATCTCTGAGGGCGTTGGGGTTGGGGGACTCTTCCCAGCTATGGGCCTCTTGGTGGCCTTGAGTGTCTTTTCCTTGGGCTTCTTGGTGGCCTTGGGTGGCTTCTCCTTGGGCTTCTTGGTGGCCTTGGGTGGCTTCTCCTTGGGCTTCTTGGTGGCTTTGGGAGGCTTCTCCTTGGGTTTCTTGGTGGCCTTGGGTAGCTTCTCCTTGGGCTTCTTGGATGGCTTAGGGGACCCATCTGAGGGCAGCTTGGTTGGCTTGGCACCTTTGTCCTTCTTCCCTTTCTTTCCTTTGTCTTTAGCCTTTTCTGGAGATGCTGTTGGAAATTCAGATTTAAGTCAAATGAACCAAGAGCCCCTCTGTGCCCCAAAAGCTTGGGCACAGGGACTCTCATCAGTTCCTTGTATAGACCAGGAACTGAGGCTGAGGCACTTGTTCAAGATGCAGTGCTGGCATTTGTACCTGGGCTTTCTGTCTGTACATGGCAGGCTGTCACCACCATTATCATGGCCTCTCTGAGGACAAAGCATGTTGTTATGTGCCGTCGAGTCAGACCCGACTCATAGTGACCCTCCTCCTTGGGTTTCCAAGGCAGTATCACTATGGAAGTAAATTGCCCAACCTTCCTTCCAAGGAGTGGCTAGTCAGTTTGAACCGCCAGCCTTCTGGTTAGCAGCCAAGTGTCTTAGGCACTATGCTACCAGGGCTCCTAGGACAAAGCATGGGACATTCAATTCCCATAGAGAAGACTCTGGTCCCCAACCTCCAGAACCTCAGTAGGGGCCCCTTGAAATTCACTCCTCACTGCATGCTCATTCACCAGTCTGGAAGCAGCCAGTGGGGATCAGCCAGCAAGCCAGCCTTAAAGGCACATGGTCCAAGGGGGAGAAGTCTCATTCTTCACTAATTCAGGAAGCTAATGGATCTAGGACTCCCTGAAGCCTCCTTCCAGGGACAAGAACAGCTTCAATGGAAGGGGGATGTTGGTTGGGTCATGAAGCCCAAAGAAGAGGAACTGATCCTCTGGCAAGAAGCAAAGGGGGGGAGGGCAAATGGGAGGCCAGATAGGGAGATCCTGGGGGCTCACAGAGGATAGAGGAACAGCAGGAGGGGTCCCAAGGCTGTTTGCCATCTCTGCTGCCCTGGCCTTATTCAGAATCCTGGGGAAGAAGCAGGGTCCTGGCGTGGGGATGCCCAGTAGGAATTGTCCCAGGACCCTGAGCAGCAGCTGCAAATATGTCCAAGAGCCCAGGACAGTGACCCGGCAATAGAAGCGGGCTGGGGGAGGGGAGTTCTAGAAAGGCAATGTGGGTTCCAGGACCTCCTTGGAGGGTAGGGAGAATAGACAGGAAGTTCTAGAGCTGGGGCTGCAAGGAAGGGGTCCCATTGAACCTCTGTGATGATGAGTAGTATCTTGAGAGAGATAAACAGATCCTTTTCCTACCCTCCTGGCATCACAATAAACCAGGGCTTCAAACCAATTTAAACCAGTTCAGTCATGGCCAACAAAAGAAACCTAAGACAGGAATGATAAGCAGAATGGAAAAAATTACAGGTCAAAGCCCTAGAATGGGAGACTTGGAAGAGGCATAGTAAGCCCATTTAGAAGTGTGATGATCCTGAGGTCGAGGATGAAATTGCAGAGAGCAACACACCTTCAAAATGGCTCAGTGGGCCATCTGTGAGCTGAGTGCCACTTTTACCCACTCTGCAGGTATGAGATTTGGTTACTATACAATGTGTACACTGCTCTAAGAGGGAGATTGTTTCTAGCAGGACAAAAAAAACCCCAAACTCACTGCTACTGAGTCAATTCCGACTCATAGCGACCCCCACTGGGTTTCTGAGGCAGTAAATCTTCACGGAAGTAGATTGCCCAGTCTTTCTTCCACTAAGTAGCTGGTGGGTTTGAACCGCCAACCTTCTGGTTAGCAGTCAAATACCTTAGACATAGAGCAGGGCGGCAACTTTTAATTTTTCCTGTCCCAGTTACTGCTCTAGTTCACCCAAATTTTAAAAATTCGTGTCTGTTCTATTCTCTCTTTGATCATGATTGAACTAGGATGAACCCCTACAATAAGCAGCTAAGATTTATTGACAGCTGATTATGTAAGAGGCCCTGAGTTAAATGCTTCCCTGATGCATCATTTCATTTAATCCTCATAATAACTGAGAACTACCCACTACCCCCAAGTAGCTCTGGTGGGCTGTGACAGTTAAAGCACTGGGCTGTTGTTGTTAACCAAAATGTTGGTCGGAACTCCCCAGCTGCTCCTCAGGAGAAAGATAAGGAAGTCTACTGTAAAAGATTTATAGCCTTGGAAACCCTATGGGGTAGTTCTACTCTGTTTTACAGGGTTGCTGTGAGTGAGAATGGACTTGCCAGGCAGTGGAGACCCACTGTCCCTGGAGCCTGCGGGGAAAGGCGGAAGGTGTCTTTTGCAACCCCCTTCCCTGTCTCTGCGTTCCTGGAGTGGAAAACCAACAGCAAGAGAATACTGCCAGAGAGGGCCCGAGTGGCCCCATTAAAAACAGTGAAGCTGCGACACAACACAAATCTGGAGGATGGGAGGGAACGGTGAGCAACAACCCCATTTGGCTCAATCCTAGTCTTCTGGCTCCCCAGAGGCATGCTTGCCACAGTGTTGAATGTGGCTGGGGCCCAAGGGCTATAAGCCAAAACGGACCTCCCCCACCCCAACCCCGCTCCCTGTATCCCGCAAAACTTCGGGCTTCGTACTGGCTAGTGCGTTACCGCAGTTCTCAAGGATGGGCAGACTTAAGTAAGGGGGTTTTGTCCAGACTCTGCCTGAGTCCCTCCATTCTCACCTGAGGTTCAGGGCGCCTCCTCAACCTAGCTCTTACCCTCTCCTGCCGCCCCCGGTCGCGTCGACTTCGTCCCTCCCGCCTGGGCTTTGCCAACACGCGGGGTGGGCTCAGGGGACGGCGAGGGTTCCACGTCCTCCTCTCCAGTCTCGGGCTCCAGCTCCGACAGGAAGCCCTCGAGGAACTCCTCGATCTCATCGTCAGTCAGCACCGTCTGCGGGCATCCCCCGGGACAAAGCGCCAGCAGCGCCAGGATGCAGCCAAGCAGGGACGCCCCGCGCACGGCCGCCATAGGGCCGCGCTAGTGGGGAATACGAGCGGGGTCCTCCGAGGCGCCCCGAAGGGCTGGCGGTGGCTGGCACTCCCGACCCCGCGTGACACGCGTTCCTCCTAGCCGCTCGCTGCTCCCAGCCGACCAGCCTCTCCAAAGCGCGAGCTGTGGCGATAGCAGGGGCCAGAGTTTCCGGAGTCCGGGTGGGGGGTCGCGGGGGCGGAGTGGGAGGAGCCGGCGCAGACAGCCGGGGCTCTGGGGCAGGATGGGCAGTCCCCGCGCGGAGCAGCGCTCTGGGCAGCTCCAGAGGCGCGAACTGCGGGGAGTGGCCTGGCAGGAGGCCGGCGCCAGGATGTAGGGCCTAGGGGCTGAAGGAAGACCCGAGGGGGGTTGCTGTCCCTTTTCCAGCCCTTGGCTCCCGCACCTCCCCTAAACCGAGTCTGGGAGGAGAGACGCCCTAACCGAGCTCTCTGGAGGTGACCGAGAACCACAGGGAAAAGAGCCTCCGGGACCCTATCAATCTTGGAGGGCCGCCAAGGAATGTGAGGGGATCCGGAGCGTGGTTCCCGTTCTTTCCACGTTTCTGGAGCTTTAGCTGGGCCTGTCTAGGCCAACTGTTGCCAGCCCCAGCCCCAGCCCCAGCCCCAAGGCAATCGCTCCTTCAGACATCCAAGAAACGCGGGCACTGTGCTCGGCAGGGGAGAGAGAGAGTGGTTGAGCTGAGGTTCCAGCACTTTGGGAACTCACTTTCTGTACCCGAGCAAATTGAAAACTGCCGTGGGGCGGGGGCGGGGAGCTTAGAGCCAGCCATATAAGGGCATGACATCACCCCTTCCCCTCCTAGGTCCTAGCTTATGAGGTGAAGAGTTTCTTGCCTACCCCTGAACTCCCAGCCGACTGGGGAGGGATGCCTGAATCCCAGAGGCAAGGAAACTTCTATCTAACCTATCCCCACAACAAAGGGAACGACCCCTGGCGAAGCTAACTAAGTGAGACTCAAGGGGCAAATTCATTTGGCAGCACTAAAGGAGCCTAGCTAAATGCTGGTGATATCGTGGTCTCAAAAGCACAGGACACCATACATTGCCCTTGACAAGCCGGAGCACAGGAAATGTGCACTCCAGAGCCAATATGAAATGAAGTTGTGTTTTCAGAAGTGCGGTGAGAATGAACCTGATCCCTTGCCCAGCAAATATGAAGTGTAAACATCTGGAGTGCCAAGGGACCCTTGAGTTTCCTTGACTCACCACTTCCCTGACAGCTTCTTTCACTGTTTCCTACAATTTATATTCCCCACCCAGAGGGGTAGAGTGCTTCGCTGTCAGCTGAGATTACTCCATGGACAAGGAAGCCATTCTCTCCTTCCCCTTACCAGAACCGAATTTTTGAAAAGGTGTTTACAGTAGCTGTTGTTACCATGTGGACCCAGGGACACCTGGATTGGATGTTGTTGTTGTTATGTGCCTTCGAGTCATCCCCGACTCATAGCGACCCCTCCTTGGGTTTCCGAGGCAGTATCACTACGGAAGTAGGATTGCCCAACCTTCCTTCCGAGGAGTGGCTGGTGGATTTGAACCGCCAGCCGTCTGGTTAGCAGGCAAGTGTCTTAACCACTATGCTACCAGAGCTCCCCTGGATTGGATAGATGTTAGTAATGTCTGTCACAAATTCAGCATGGAGAATTAGGATGTGTGTTCCTAGTATTGCCTTTAGGCTTCTTGAAGGGCAAATGTTGGCTGCCCTCAAATGAGCATCACACTAAGGCCAGAGCTCCGAAAACATACCCCCACTCCTCACTGAAGGAGTGAGGATGCAAGAAAAAACACGTGGAACTGGCTAGTCAAATTCAGTGGTAATCAGAGCCCTGACAAGTTCATCTGTGTGGGACTGGGCCCTGTGAATTAGGCAGGTGGAAGAAACTGGGAGCCCCTGGTATGATTGACAAATAGACTTTGGGCCTTGGGTAAAGGGAAAGGAAAAGCAGGCCAGGAACTACCTGGATCCACAGGACATGGTCCTGACCAGCCTAAGCACTGCTGCCAGGGAGGTCACTGTATGACTACACTGAGACTAAGCAGGAGGAAGGCCCTAGGCTCCTCTAGAGAGGCACCCTTCCTTCTTGTCCTTAAAAGGGCAATGTGGTACTGTAATCAGGAGCTGGTCTTAGTTCAAGAGCTACTCTCAATCTAAGAGCTGGAGTCAATCCCAGCTCTGCCCTTCCCCACCATCTGCTCTCCAGGTCCACTCCCAGTGGATAAGGGGGGCATTGACAGTATGTGTGTTAAGGCCACAAGAGTGAGGGTCAGTGTGCTCAAGCCACACCCCATACACACACACACACAAACATACAAAAGATCAGTGCTCACAGCCAGGGATCCTCAGTGCTGGTCATCTCCCTTCAGAGACTAAATCTGCCGAGACAGTCAGGCTTTCTTATCCTGCCACGTGGCCCCAGGCTGGTCTCGTGGTATCCAGGGTGAAGCAAGCTCTTACCGATCGCTGCCCCTGTAAGCCTCTGAGTCATTGCTTTGGAAACTTTGTCTTGGAATGTGCTCAGTTATACAAGTTGAATGTGTCCAGTAGAGAGATCTGGGTTGGGTGAGGGGCCTGTGGAATGTCCTTCCCTCAGAACAGTGCTTGTGTTCTGCTGGCTTCCCACATGGATAGGATTTGTGCCAACATTCTCCAAAGGGAAAAACAGAAGACTTTAAAAACATAAAATAAAATAGGGCTTTTTCCTCAGCCCCAGTGATTCACCATTGGAAACATGAGTGAAAGCCCTTCTGGGAAGCTTAGCTCCAGGGAGGGGTAAGGGTCTGGAAAGGAGGAGAGGGCAGGAGACTGGTCCTTGCTAGGCTCAATGATCCTCCCCAGTGAGTATAGCCAGGCACCTACTCAGCTGTAATTCCCACCCAGGAAGTCCTTCAGACGTATACCTGGGGTTCTGCCTAGTGCAAGGAAGTGACCCACGGGGCCTGTAAGGGAATAGTCTCCCCTCTGCAAAGAGTAACCAAGGCCAGAGGTAGGTGGTGGGAGCAGAAGCCATGAACTCACACTCCCACGGCCAGATCTGGCCAAGAGCCCCAGTAGCTAGCTTACCCTCCCAGGGCCAAAGGCATTCATTGCACACACATGGGCACTGCTGGCACCCTCTGTGAAGGTCTGTTAACCACCCCACCTGCTTCATTACCCACCACCTGAGAGCAGCACTTGTGGATTGCTGCACCATGTCCCTCCCCTCAGTGAGGGTCTGCCAAGGAGCCATAGCAGGACTGGGCTGACTGGGAGAGGCCATCTCATTCTGTAGGAATTTGCTGAGCTATAGCACACCTTGTTAACTGAAATTTTGAGAGAGCCATGTGTGGACTTGAGAGGGGCTGCAAATGGGATCACTTGCTTCTCCTGAAGCTGGCCAAGCATACTCTGCATCTTCACTCTCTGGTAAGGCAGGGATGGGCCAAGGACATACCTCTGAGGGCTATAGAAAGAACTGGAGGTCAGGAGCTAGGGTCCACCACAGAGGTCAGTGGAAGAAGCCATCACCACATAGAGAAATAGGCACTGCAGAAGGTCCTACAGGCTGAGGCTGGGGAGATGGAGGACATGAAGGCAAAGCTGTCAAGTGGGGCACATTAATAGCCAGGTAACCATGGCTTCAGGCAAGCAGAAATTTCCCTTTCCAGAACAACCCTCCCCCTCTCCTCTGCCTGGAGGAGCCACACTAGGGGGGAGAGGTGGTGCAGAAGTGGGAAGGAACAGGTCTTTGAATTTTAGAATTAGATGGGAGATCCAGCATAGGGAAGGAGAAACTTGGAGCTGGAGGAGAAATGGAAGCTTTGATTTAGAGTGGGCTTGATATTTTAATCCCTTAACATGAGATAGCTCTACACCTAGCAGGTGAGAAGAAAACCCCAGGGTCCACTTGAGAGGAGCAGAGCACACTTGGGAAAAAGTTACGGTGTTTTCTGATTTCTTCACTGAAGTCAGCACATTCAGTAACAGTATCATATGAAGTTGTGCCATCATGGGGGATGGGGGGGGGTCCCCTGGTGACACTAGGGGCTCATATGTCTGATAGGGAGGGTCTGCTTATCTGGTATTACCCATTCACATGAAATTCAAGTTACCTCTGCCTGGTGGCATCTGCAAAGCAAAGCACTCAGTAGCAAAGAGGCTTGGGCTGGGACCTGGGAGATGTGGGGTCACCTGCTGCAACTCACCAGGTGACCTCTGACCATCCCTTCCCTCTCTGGACCTCAGGGTCCCTGCCTCATAAATATGGATGACCACACAGATTCCTTCCCACCTTTACCCTCTGTGGCTCCATCTCCAGCATTCCTGAGCCATCAATAATCACTTTCCACATCCAAGGAATGAGATGAACACCTTAAGGAAAACAGAGGCCAAGCCCAAAGCTTCAGCCCTCGGTTGGCTTCTCCCCTGAAGATGGTCTTTCAGACCTGGAGAGAGAAGAAGCCAATTTCTCAAAGGCACTCAGCTCGCAGGGACACTGCATCTACATCTTAGCTTCCTAAGCATGGGAAAACGTGCCCCCAGCTCTGTTCTTCTAGAACTTGCAAGGTCATGTTGGCAGAAAACTGCCTCATGCAGTGTCCTTGTGGTCTGAAAGCCCATGGTCTCTTGTGCTCCATGCTCAGGCCTTTGGGACAGGTAGGACAGAGCATTGCCCCTCACCTAGAGCCAGCCCCTCTCATCTCTTATGGGGCTGTCTGTGGGTCATGGGTTCATTCAGAAAGTATTTATGGAATGGCCTGAGCATGACACAGACACCCCATAGTCAAAGCCTTCCTCTAAAGTTCAGTCCAGTGAGGGATGGGCATCAACAATGACCTCTCCAGGCAGAAGTACAGACCAGGCCCCAAGCCACCTAGGTAGTGAGGGGAAAATGGAGGGGATATCAGCAGAAGTGATGATCTATTCTGTGCTAGAAGAGCAGGGCAGTATAGGCAGAGCTTGGGGCTGTGAGTCTGGGTCCTGAGTGGATCCTCCCAGCATGCACC